CGTATAATTCATTTTATCAACAGTGTATGATAAAATGCTTTATACTCAGCGATTTCATATTTGTATGTATATGAATTCATTTGCTCTTTGCCCTAGTTTCATATACATACAAGAACACAGGCAAGCAATTTGGCGTGTTGCCAAGTCTTTGACCTAATTCGCTGGATCACCTCACTCAATTCTTCAGCCTTGCACACCTGCACTCCATTACCATATTTGGTATGCCAGTGAGAGATTTCAATATGCAAATGTTTAGACCAACTTTGAACCAATGAATAAGGTTGTTTTGTTTTATGTTGCTTAGTGAAGTGATGGCCCGAGTTGCGTTGGGCTAGGCTAGGCTATAGGCTGTAAGAAGAGTGCTCGGGCTGTGCTCACTTTTGTCACAGTCATCGAGACAGCAGGATCAGATTTCATTTTGTGCATTAAATTTTCATTGGAATACAATCTTTTCACTACCTTGGATTTACAATACCTTGGATTTATATTTGGTGTATTTGTTTTAGCAAATTGGATCAATTTGTCTGTGAACCAGCAGGAGTGTATTTTTGTTGTTCAGTGTCGCGGATTTGTTGAATTCTAATCTTGGATGTCTCCAATTCCCAGTCCAGTGGACTTATTGACAGTCATCATTTAAGTGGATGGATCTTTGACCTTGGATATATTTTGGTTGTCTCAGATTTCTTCAAATCCAATGGAATTATGTGACAGTTGGGCGTTCACTAGCCCATAAAGGTGAGGCCCAAGTCATCATGCAATTGCAAGTTCTCCTGCTTTCTCCAGCCAGTTTGTGGGCACTTCACTATCTGTCAATTACCCCTGTGCCTGCTGCAGGCATAGCTTCAGTGCCAGTGGACCCATCTAGACTTAGCAAGTCTCAGAAACACACATGACGCTTAGGAAAGTTTGTGCGTCGATCTAAGTCGGTCTCCATCAAACATTCGTACATGATACAAGGTAACGTTGCTGCAGCATGTTCACGTGGTGGTCGAGATTTTGGGAGCCTGCACCAAGATTGGTGGAAGTCAAGGTGAGAAAATTCTGATAATACTAGCCTATAGCCCGTGTTTGTGGAAAGGCTGTTTTTAGTGCCACTGGGTTTTATAATTATAGGCCAACTGTTATTTTACTTTTGCCGTTGGTACTATACTAGTGTAGTTTGGACCCTGTTCAAAATAAGTAGGCTATATATAGGCTTGGCCTAGGCAACAACTGGAGAATAAATATTAAGCAGTGACTCATGCTTCTCTTGCTGTGCCGACTGCTTATAGGCTTAGCTAAACAGTGTCTGTATTCATTCAAAATAACGTTACTGGGGACTACCGATAATTACAAAAAATAGGTCTTTTTTTTGGTTATCCAGCATGGAAATATCTTTCACTTGTTATACATTTTGTCTCAAGGGGCTACGACAGTCTGCCGTAATATGAAAAAGACAGAGAGTTTTGTCAATGTCATTATTTTCCTCGGCAAATGGACGTAATTAGTGTGTAATTCTAATGTTGAAAAAAAAACGCGTTCCAAGTGCACCAAACTATATGCCAATGGTCCATAGCTATATTAATTTACTGTCGTATAATCCTCTTATAATCATCACAAACCAAATAAATTGTAGGCAATAACAATGTACACATGAATCCTGATCTTTTGAATAACCTTCAATCAAGAATACAACATAAGAAACAAGTGGTTAAAAAAGTGAAACGGACCTACCGCCACGACGCTTGTCTTGTGATAAGGTCCTCTTGTGTTTCTGTTCCCAAGGAGAGGCTTGGCCGGGATATAGTCATGGCTTGCTTGTCCACTAATATATGGACAGGAGGGGAGATCCGGTGCTTCATCCCAGCATGGAGGAAGGAATCTTCTCTTGCTGGCAGGTTGTATACGATGTCCTGCACTATCGATCCTGGGTATCCAGGGGTCCGTCAAAATTGTTCAGTTCAAGTTCAAGTGTCATTATCCCACTTTTGACACTCGGCCGCACAGATTGTTCAGGCGTTAGTCAATGTTCGAACAAACTTTTATAACGGCGACACGTGCATATCTGCTATTCAGTGTCTCTTAATTTTTATTGCTGACAACCCTCCTTGCTACGCTGACAATTTGGGGCTGATGATTAGAACTCGACGGATATAATGTGATGGTTCATGTCGGAATTTACAAGCCCCTGTGCATTTAGGAACCAAAAAACCCCAAATGTTTAAAATACCACACTCTAAATACAACATCACAATGCACAGTACAATTCAAAATTAGTCGGTGTGTAAACTTCAATGCTTGAAACCAAAGCAATCCTCGCACAAACGAAACAGCTGGTATTTCACCAAATGCATTGTGACAGGTTACATAATACTTTCTTGGGTAGACAGAAATTTGTCCTTGTCCTTAATAACACCAAAACATGGAAATTACCAGATTTTAAACAACATATAGTGTGTACATAAATACACCAGAGACACAAATTGCTTTAGGCACAAAGTAAAGAAATACAGTGTCTGGCAGCAATCAAGTACAGTTCAGTATGTGAAACTATTTGTGACATAAATACACAAAACAATTTAGGAACTAACCTGGTTATACATGTAGTACAGCGCAGCTCTTACTGCTACATCAGCTACGTCACCATATTTGTAGTTGGAAGCTATATACCAAATAATAAAATGATTCTTAAATGAACGTTTCTTTAACATAACATTATCTATGAGATAGGATATAGTCAGTTCAATTCAGATCATCAGTGTTTATCGTTCCATCATGATTCAATTTACGTTGACTGCCAAACTTATCATTGCAAATCTCTAAGTTTGAATCATTTATTAAAAGTCAAGATGTTGAAACTTCATTCACAGAAATGCAACAACGAAATGCAACAAATAAATGATGAACCATGTATTATAAGGATGAACTCCCATCTAAGTCACAAAATTACAACACAAAATAACTGAAGATAATAACTCACCCCTATGGCTACTCAATCGGGCATCGGTTTGGTTTCAGTGGCCTGCTATTCAAACTGCATCTTTTGACCCTGATGCGGGCTATTAAATACCCACTTTGGTTGGTTGATGGACTCTTCTATCCATTTGCCAAGTGGTTAAATATTAATTTAACCACTCCTTATTTATGGTAGAATTTGAATATGTACTTTTTGATTGCCTGGGTTGGTGATGGTTGCCTTTTGAGCGCCTTTTGAGCGGTTGGCTGAAAGAGATCCTCAATTTTAGCCAAATGGCTTTGAAGCTTCTGGGAACTTGTTAAGCATGAATTGCAGGTCAGCGCTTCCTGAATGAGAACAGTCGACGTCTTCGTCTTGGCTGTTCGACGCAGGTCGAAGACAGAACTGTCCGAGGTATCGGATGTTTACACCCCGAGTCAAGATCCTGCATGGCATACTTAATGATACAGGTAAAGTTCAAGTTGAAGAGGCCCGGTGCCAGGACGCAATCTTGCTTCCATCCCGTTTGAGATATCAAATGGGTCGGACTGGTCACCATTTGAGAGAATTATTGTCCAGTCATGCCATAATTGAAAGGGCCTGATTATCTGGATGAACTTTCGTGGGCAAATAAGGAGTACAAGTCTAAGTTCTGCGCGATGCCTCTGTCAGTTGCACTGAGAACATCATATCGACCGTACTGCGCCCTTGACGAAATCTACACTGGGCTTCAGGTAAATTGGCTTCCGACACAATAATGAGCCTGTTCAGATTGATTCGGACAAAAACTTCCCAGCGATGGAGAGGAGTGATGCCCCTGTAGTTTCCGCAGTCGGCTTTGTTGCCCTTATTGTAGAGGGCAACAATCATGCAGGGCATCCCTAAACTTCTGCTAGTATCTTCTCTTGCTCCCCTATGCATCTGCGTGCATCGCAGAAGACATCAATCGATTCTGATGGGCCTGCTAGCT